TACAGGAATGCCCCTCTGGCACTTATAAAGATGTCATTGGATCTGAAGAACATCTCTGCCATCATTGTCCATCACTGGAGCTTTCCCATCGTGCTGTTTACATTAGTATCAGAGGTACTTCTAAATCTTGATTCTTTAATGTCAGCACGAGTTTTACAGTTGCTTAGCTGAATTAGTGAAAGGTTATGGCTGTTTTTATGACTGTTGTGATTTCTTGTAATTACTTGTTCAGATTTGGAAATTTCATGTTTAAATTCATTACTCCTGTGCTGATTAACCACTACAAGTTACAATATGGAGGATGTAATGCTTAGATCTTGGCTACTTCATTAATAAACTGATCCTTTCTGATAGGTGGCGCAACTGAAGCTACATGTCCTTACAGATGTGTTTCAGACAGATATCATATGCCACATTGCTATACAGCCCTTGAGGAGCTGATTTATACATTTGGTGGACCCTGGATGTTTGGTCTTATTCTACTGGGCCTCCTTATCTTGTTGGCTCTTGTGCTCAGTGTTGCACGTATGAGGTTTGTTGGGGTCGACGAATTACCTGGTCCTGCTCCAACTCAACATGGCTCTCAGATAGACCACTCTTTCCCTTTCTTGGAGTCGCTCAATGAGGTGCACAATCCTGTCTTCTGATTTTTTATTTTTTTTTGTGTAGAAAGAGAGAGGGAGGGGGGGGGGGACTGGGGAGGGGAGTCTCTAATTAAGTGGACTTGACTTGGTTTAAATTGTGATCTATGGAAGCGATCTTCAATTATCTCTGTTTTTTCGATTTATTTTCTTTTTAATTTTACATTTGCAGTGTTGATACTATTGTCTTGCTTTGCTGTTTCTTGTTGCAGGTCTTGGAAACAAACAGAGCCGAGGAGTCTCAGAGTCATGTTCACAGGATGTATTTTATGGGGCCAAACACTTTTGCTGAACCTTGGCACCTCCCTCACTCCCCACCGGAACAATTAAAAGAGATTGTGTTAGTACTTTCTTTTTTTCAGCCATTATATATTTGATCATTGGATGTACCTGAGGTGGCTTCTAAATGCTCTCCGGTGCTTGAAATCTTTTACAAACTTTAAGGGTATCTTGTTTCATATTTGCAGGTATGAGGGTGCCTTTAATAGATTTGTAGATGAGGTTAATCTTCTTGCAACTTATCAGTGGTGGGAAGGATCAGTATATAGTATCCTTGGTGTTTTAGCATATCCATTGGCTTGGTCTTGGTTACAGTGGCGCCGTAGGATTAAACTGCAGCGACTTCGAGAATTTGTTCGATCAGAATATGATCATGCTTGCTTAAGATCTTGTCGTTCTCGTGCTCTTTATGAAGGGATAAAGGTTAAGCTCTGTACCTGCTTACTTTCTTCTGTTCTGAATGTTTTTGGTGTTTTGGAGTAGGATTGTCTGTTTTTCTTTTTTTTTTCACCAACCTTTATTACGTAATTCCTGTAACAAAACTTGCTTTTTCTTGGATCATTTTGTACTGGTTGCTAATTTTTTTGATATCTTGTTTGTAAGATGTCTTTCTCAATTAAGATATTGATTTATCCGAAAGGTGTAGTTTTTCAGACTTCCTGCGTCTACGGGGTACTGGGGTAGCCGATAGGTTTGTGATAATATGACTGATTAGATTGTTTGATTGTACTCCCCCCGTTTTTATTTATTAATTTAATTTAATTTTTCAGTGTATCGGTTTACCGGTACTTAGTTTTAGGTTGGTGAGTTGAATGGAGTTAATATTGTAAAACAAAGATAGTGGTGGTAATGTAAAACTAGATAAATAATAAAAAGTAGGAGTTGGGGGGTGGGGCGACCATGTGAGGAAATATTAAATATGAGGGATCATGTTCAAAACAGGAAGTGACTTTAGAACAGGTTTTTATTAAAGCTTATTTTTGAACCCACATTTGAATTTAACAGGTTGCTGCTACTCCTGATTTGATGCTTGCATATGTGGATTTTTTCCTTGGTGGTGATGAGAAAAGGAGTGATCTACCTCCTCATCTACTTCAAAGGTTTCCCTTGGCTATACTTTTTGGTGGTGATGGAAGCTATATGGCACCCTTTACTCTTCACAGTGACAATATTCTAACTAGCCTTATGAGTCAGGTATGCCGTTGTAAACTCATGTCTGAGTAGGAATTAAATATTTATAAATATGTTTTGATGCTATGTTTTCCTTAATGTTGATCGTGTGTGTGTGCTCTTTGGGGGTATGATTCCCTTCAGTCTGTCCCTCCAACCTCTTGGTATCGTCTGGTGGCCGGTCTTAATGCGCATCTACGCTTGGTTCGGCGTGGATGCTTAAGGAAATCATTTCGACCTGTTCTTAGGTGGCTTGAAAGTCATGCTAACCCCAAGCTGAAGAACTATGCTCTACGTATTGACCTTGCTTGGTTTCAAGCCACAGCTTGTGGATATTGTCAGTATGGTCTTTTGGTTTGTACTCTTGATGAGAACCTTGAGTCTCTATCCCCTGAGTATCACGATGGGAATATGCAAACTGAGCTACCTTCTAGGTATGTTGTTTTGTTCATTCTTGTTTATTTATTCTTATATTGTTGTATATGTATTTGCACATACTCAGCCTCTGCGTCTAGTATCTTTTAGTTCTGGTGACTGTCTTGATGAATGCTTCTGATCACATAACAGCATCCGGGTAGGGAATTCATCAGGCTATCCCTGGGAAGATGCCCTCTTAGACAATGTTAGCAAAACAGATGAATATTTGATGCGACAGAAGAGGTCATATGGAGCTATTTTGGACATTGAAAATATACGAGATCTGGAGGAAAAGAGAGATATCTTCTTCCCCTTCTCTCTCATTCTTCACAATACTAAGCCTGTAGGGCATCAGGTAATGGATTCTGCTAATTAATTTTGAATTGAGTTATACTGAAAAAATAGTTTACAAGGACCTTCATGGATATTAAACTTACCATCACTATTATATGTATTGTCCTCTTGCAGGATCTTGTTGGTTTGGTTATCTCTATATTGCTTCTGGGGGATTTCAGTCTAGTGCTGCTTACTTTACTCCAGCTATATTCAGTATCAATGGTGGATGTGTTCCTTGTATTATGTTTTTTACCACTGGGTATTCTTCTTCCATTTCCTGCTGGAATTAATGCTTTGTTCAGTCATGGTCCTCGGCGTTCAGCTGGTCTTGCACGTCTGTATGCTCTGTGGAACATCACCTCTTTGGTCAATGTTGTAAGTACAAATTATGGTTTATTTCTTCTTAAAGACCTTGATCTAATAATTTAAAAGAATTTGATGCTTTAAAGAAGTATTTTCTTATCTAGCTCATCCTTTATTGATTTCTCTAGTAAAATCTTCATTAATAACTCTCTACATATCTGGCTCAACCTGCCAATCAGTTTACTTAAGAAGGGTTAACTTGGCAATTTGGATCCTCTTCAGCTCATCCCGTGGCCCTGCTGAATGCTCCCGTCTTTTTAATTGTGAACAGGTGGTTGCATTTATTTGTGGTTATATCCACTACAAGTCCCAAGCATCACGAAGCAAAATGATTCCATATTTGCAGCCATGGGGCTTGTAAGTTAACCTTTTTACTAGATGTTTTCTTTACTCGCTAATTACAGGTAAATAAAGGCTGTCGTCTGCCTGCCTGATAATGATTTCCTTTGTTGCTGGCTGTATTTGCAGGGATGAAGGTGAATGGTGGATTTTTCCAGTGGGACTGCTTTTGTGTAAATGTCTTCAGTCTCGACTGATAAATTGGCATGTTGCAAATTTGGAGATACAAGATCGCTCGTTGTATAGTTCCGACTTTGACGTATTTTGGCAGTCATAAGTCATAACATCATTTACTTTGTCTCTTGCCCAAGTATTAGGTTTTTTGTATGTTGCTCTTGGGCGTAGATGAGAAACACAAAAGAACTGAAAGGAAAAAGAAAACAACAGGAGTAAAAGAAATTATTAGGCCTAGGATAAATGTCAATTCTTTTTGTGTAGCTGATCCATTGTGTAATCTTTTGTATCCCATGTTGTACATAATTGGTACATATGTGCTTCGCTTTTTGATCATGTATGATTCTTCCTGACATTTTGACAAATGTTACCATACTTATTTAACAGAACAATCATATTAACACGGACTTACGCTTCACCCAAACTAACTCAGAATGGAGCTTTTGATTTTAACCATTGAATATGCTTAGGAAATTCATAACTGCTGCAATGGTAGATGGAAATGTTTAATCCATGTGAATATGAACTTTCTTGTAGCAAAATGGATTTAGGGAGGAATGATGATTACTACTTTCTCCTTTTAAAAATATAGTCATGTGAGATTTTATTAAATTTGTCTTATAATATTAATATTTTATAATTTTACTAAAATACAACTTCAGAGGTTAGAAAATGTGCATGGGGAATTGTGAACTCCTCTTTGACTAAAAAAAAAGAACAGGGGAAGTATTCTACTTACTAAATGCACAATATTTTACTTGCAACACTAAGAGTTTCACACTTACTAATGCACAATTAATATTTTTGTTGCGTTTTAGCAAAAATTAGAATTTAATAAATTTTAATGAAGTACAAATTGAGATGAATCTAACAGCGTAATACATGACTATTTTTTACAGTATAAATAATGCCGAAATCCTAATGTTACAACTAAAAAGAACAAAGGAAGTATGCATTTGCAACAGTAATTTCTAAAACTGTGTTACAGTTGAATTGTACTAATCTTTTATATAATTTAAGAGCTAGTTAATCACAGCCCTCCAAAAGCCCAATTCTCAAATGTTAAGCATTTCAGTTTTTTTTCTAAATATATACATGCTACGTACCGTGCGTTTCGCACGGTACACTCTAGTAAAAGTAATAATGGAGAAGATAGTGTTTGTATGATGGGTTGAACTGTAGTCTAAAATTCAAATTGGAACTTAGCAAGTAGTAACACATAGTATAAGGTAGCTCTATTACACCTTCAGTTCCAATAGCTTTGTTTCTGTTGCACCAATCTGAGCATAGCCAGAGTCCATAAACTTGTGGTACTGAACTATAGATTTTTCAGTAAAAAAAATCAACGTACAAAATGAAGAAAACAATTTTAAAGATTTCACAGCCAGAGTCAATACTAGATTGACAACGGGAAAGGAAATCACAGCTTCATAATCACAAGCTGAAACTACACTGGTTTTGGAAAAAAGATGGTCTTCACATTTTACAGGTGGATTCACTCTTAGACAGATTACAATGACTCCCTAGAGATCTGAATTTCTTGAATTCAGCCAAAACACAGACAGGCCACTACTGTGGCAATAACTACAAGTTGAAGCATTTCATTCCTAGTTTCGATTTTGTTCTTCCTAAAATCGTTGAACATCTTCAGAAGATTCTTGATACAAAAAAAACTTATCTGCTGTTACTCTTTGTTCAAAATTTTCGGCACCTTGATGTATGGTTCCTCATAACTGGGAATTGCAGCTATAATAGCTTCTCTGTACAGTAGAAACAGGAGACTTAGTTTACATAAGAAGTTGAAATTTAAGAGCAATCAAAATGGCTACGAAAAAGAATATTTTTTTTTTACCTATTGTCAAATGTTTGAGGGATGTCTTCCCGTAAATTGTCACCATCAATTTCTGCACATATTACATTTTGAAGTTGGATAGGAGATTTGTACATGTCCATATCGTTGCAGGGATATATTCAATGCTTAATCATGCAAAGTAGTTATCTAGATTATCATGTAATTCAACCAATATTCTCAGGTATAATTATGTGAAATTTAATTCTAGCAATCATAACAACGAAATTCTACATGCCAATGACACTTCAATTATTTGGTTTTCACAAATCAGCACAGATAAAGGTCCGAAAGGGCTACAAATTCTCCTAGTGAATCTTTCTTAAAAAGTCAGTCTCAAGATGAAAATTTCAATGCTCATTGCAGAAGAGGGTAAGCAAGATCATCAATATCTACTAGAACAATGTCACATTTTCTGAATCACAATACACTTTCATCAAACTAGTACATTATCAAATTTCTACAGTTCAGGGATGCGGCAAAGGGATAAACATCAGCTCTTTTGTGTGTGTGTGTGTGTGTGTATGTGTGTGTGTGTGTGTGAGACAGAACATCAGCTTTTGAAAATGAACTACAAGAAATGAATCTGACTTTAGAGCTGATCAACTGTCCTCGTAATTTCATCTAAAAAGCCAAGATGCTGATTGACATTAAAAAAAATTCTAGTTTGAAGCTTCTAGAATATACAGAAATGCAAAAGTGAGCATGTCTAAAACAAAGAACCAACCATACTGGCCTAGTGGATAAATTAGAAATTCAGCTGAAGTAGACATAACAGCAACAGGATCATAATGGTACAAAAACACACAACCACACTAAACCAAAGGATTCTTATCTCCAAAAAGACCGAGTGAGATGATAAAGGCTCACCTAGGCTATAGCAACCCAAAATTTGAAAATTAGGGCAATCAAGTAAAAATATCGTAACAAAGATGTCATTTTTCCAACATGTTTGGATGCAATTGTGCAACCTTAATTCTATAAGAATAATGAAGTAAATCAGGATAGGAGTCCTAATTCAATGAATCAGTAAAACTAATTACAGCAAATAGGGAAAGAATGGGCACACAAGTTCATAGGCAGGTGCATAGAGAATGTATGAGGAGAATCCTTGCAAGAAAAAAGCTCATATACTGTGTATCATGCATTTAGGAAGAGGCTATTCACAAAATTTCAGTAAAATGACCACATTGTTTCTTAGACAAGTTGATATATCAGTTTATAAGAGGGGGGCAGTAAAGAGGATTGGAGGAGAAGAATTAGATATTAGAGCTTAGAGACAGCAGTAGTGAAGATAGGTTTGACAAAGATGATAGTATTCGACAAAAAAAAGCATGTGTATTCTCGATAACAGGGATTGAATGCAGACTTCTTTCCACATATTATTTTTGCATAAACACTTGAAGCAAATATATCCTTGTCTTGAAACGAATTTCCACGGATACAATAGTTCTTATATAATTTCCATATGATTTTCCCAAGTCAAAATAATAATGCACTCAGAGGAAATATTTGCAATGTTCTCTTGCAAAGAAAGATTTCTTTGATTACACAAAGAAAGGGGTGTCATATTGCAGAAACTAGAGGGAATTAGAAGAGTAAATACTATTACCTGAACGAATGGATGGCTCAATACTTTCAAGATCAACAGCTTGAAGTTGTCCAAACCTAATAAATAAACCAGGAAAGAAAAAGTAGAAAACCCTGTAAGATGTTTATTACAGCCAAAGCAAATCCTTATTTTGGATCAAGGTTGTCCTTAAGTAAATCATGCAATGATGCAACACACCCAATTACCAAGGTAAGAAAATTTCCTCTTAAAAACTATTTTACCACAAGACAGCATCAATCCATGAACATTAAAAACCTCAAAGGGACAAAGACGAAACAAATAAATTCACAATCCTACGTCATATGTAGATTATTTCAACGAAAAGTAATCAGTAAACGTTCCTAGGTTAGCCTTCCTTACTTCAGCAAATGGAACAAGAATCTACATAAATTATTTATATTCCTCAACCGCCCCTCCTGCCCCCCAAAATAAAAAAATTCCAATTTGATTTTTGAAGGAAAATCAACTTTCAAGTTTCAACAGTAACCCATCACTGCAAGTTCTGAAGCTAATATGACTATGGACGATTTTAGCATCACAACAAGGAAAAGAGACTAATCAGCCATTAAAATGTGGAAACCCCGAATTTAAAAAGTGTAAGCAATCAGCAATCATAAATTACATAAGCTTAAACTGAACGAGTGGATAGTAGGCAAGGAGGAAAGGTTTACCACTCAACGACTTGCTGAATTTTAGGACCAAATTCTTGAACCTAAAACCAGAAGACAAACAGCTTAACAAATCCCGCTCAAGCCGTGAATAATTGTTAAAAGAACAAAAGTAGGTGTGACCAAACTACAGAAAAGAATGTGCTAATATTGTTTTACTTTTACCTCCTGGGGGGTGAGAGAGATACGAGCAGTTTCAGCCAACCGACCCACATCAGGTGGATCAAAAGAGGAAGATTTAATAGAGTAATTACATCTTTCTCGCTTCTTTATGAGCAAACTAGGAATTGCAGTAGTGCTTCTCGTACTACCAACTAGCATGTTTGTTCCTGTTCTAAATGCAACCATTGCTGTGCTGTAGCAGCTTGCCATTTGCATGCACTCTTTTCTTCAACACCGCTAGTTTGTGAATTGATGCCTCACCCACCCCCTAGCTATTTTCGGCGGACACAAATACAAGAACAAGAGCTAAGTAATCAGATAAAGAGCTAACAAAACAGCACGTAATGAATAATACTAACTTTCTATCACAAAATACCATTATTATAATTGTAAAGAGCCAACAAGTAACCAGTGGCGGATCCAGGATTTGATTAACAGGTTGTCCCATCATCGTCCATCGACCGCATAAAGTATCAAAAAATAGTCAAAACTTGTATAATGAAAAAAAAAACATAAAAAAGTTCATTTTATAAAGTAATGCAAATTCGTATTACGACTAAAAAATTACTAATTTTATTACAATTGCTCTCGACGAGTTTTCATATTTTGATAACGATTTACAATATCATCCATGGTAACATTGTAAAACAAATTGAGCACTAGGATCCGAACCACCTTGGGGAAAAGATTGCCCATCTTCATATTGAGGGAAATTGTGAGATGGGGAAGAATGTTGTTCACTTGCATGATGTAAAGGAGTACTTGGTTCACTTTCTTGAGAAGGTAAATCATTTTGTGGAGGAGGAGGATCATTTTGTGGAGGAGGAGGATTTAGAGTAGACACTTTTCTAGTAAAAAAACTTGAAATATCTCGAGTTGTTTTTCTTTTCATTCTGAAATTGAAGTTAAAGGTTGAATTAGATAAATCATACAAGAAGGGTTCTCTCAAGGTTATTAAAACTAATAATATCATCAAAAGAAAGCCCATTAACCTCAATTTCAGTCCACCCTTCAACCCCAAATCTCCAAATTAGCGATTCCCCACTAAATTTCAAACCCAAAACAACAAAATCACCATTCTCAATAGCTAATAAGAAGGTTGGACAACTATTATCATTTACCAATTAAACAGAAATAATACTATAAATCTATAAAGACTATAATAGGGCTCAAATAGTCAAATATCCAGCCACAACTCACATTCACAAATCACAACATTCAAGCTCTAAATCGGCTAAATCAGAGCCCAGTAAATAATACAGAAAACAATCAAATTATCACATTTATGATTTATCAGCTCTCCTGAAACACCCACAATATAAAATCAAGAAATTTCACCCAAAAAAAAAAAAAAAAACAACTCATACAGATAATCTGATAATTTTGATAATTAAACATTTAAACTGCAAGTCTGCAACATACATCAAAGTGCTGATAATCTGATATAGAATCTAATCAATTATAATCTTATTGCAATGTAATTATGTAAATTAAAACTAACCTAAAAAAAAAACGCGAATTTCCACAAAGTATGAGCCACGGACTGACGCCTGACGGACGAACCTTATACCGGCGACGGCGAGAACACGGAGTGACGGAGTACGGAGCTTAAAACCGGCCGGTGAACGGCGGCGGGGCTGCGGCTGGGGTCTGGGGATTCCGATTTAGGGGAGTTAGAGACTTAGGGTTTTACAATTTGGGGGAAATGTTCTGACTTCTAAGTTTTAATTTCTAAATCTCGAAAATTGGAAGTGAGGTTATAAAGCAAAAAAAGAAAAAAATTGTGAGTAGTTGAATGTAGTGACTGGTGCGTGAAGAACATTCAACTGGTGAGTGAAGAATGCGGGGAAGGAGGAGTTGAATGTAGTGACTGGTGAGTGAAGAAGGGCTCATCCACAATGCAAAGAAAATACAAATATTAGGAAGGTAAATAAAAAATGGAAACTAAATTTATTATTTTTCTTTAAAAAATTAATTAGCTAAGTTTCTGAAAAAACTTTTTGAGAACGGAAATAATGTGAAATTATAAAATTTCATAGATTTATTTTCTATAATGTGATTTGATATCTTTTACATTTGCTCTATTTTTTTGATTTTTTTTAAGGTTAATTCAGTTCGAAAGACTTTTCAATGGCTACATGTAATTGTAGATGTTACTATTATACAAAATCTTAACATATTAAAGTGATGGAGCAATCCTATCCATTCAATTTGTTTATTAATTGAAAAAGTTAAAGTAAGAAAATGAAATGAAAGTTAAAAACGGTTTTGCCTACTATAACATACAATAGAAAAAATCAATGTATTCACCATAATTAATAAGCATAATATTGTAATTTACGTTACAATCACTCGTTAATAATCAATTTTCAAGGGTTGCTTGTTATTTTAGTTTAGATAACAAGAGGAAGAAAATGATTAGGGGTTCAGGGTTTTGGATGAGAAGGTCAAAACCTAGTGCTATTCATTTGATATCAAAATGAACATAAATGAATATGTTCTACTATCATAGACGAAATCACGAGTGAGTGCGAATTAAAGGGATTAAGAAAGAGGGAAATCTTCAATATTTTTTTAAATTTATATGTGTAGCCAATTGAATGAAAGGTGGAGATTTAACACTAAAAATGTATGGTTCAGATTAAAAAAGATTGTAGTGGCTATAAAATAATTGTAGCTATCGAAAAATCAATATAAATTATAAAGTTGACTCATACTTTATTACTCACCAAAGTATTCCTTAATTAATTTTACAGGGACTTTACTAGCTAGACTCAAATTGATGGTGGTGATAATGCTAAAGTCATCGGAGTATTAGGCCGGTAATGTTTCTCTTGATTGACAAAAGACTAAAATTATTGCCCACGATAGCACTTATTTTCTTAGTTGGTCGAAAGGAGCAAGAACCAATAGGATAGTACTCTGAAGTTGTATTTTTAGTAATTTAAACAGCGAAATTGTGACCAATTTGATTATTATGTTACACATAACCTTAAGGATTATAAAACGAAAGCAACATTAAAAAACATTCCACATACAACTGAGCCGACCGTGTGATTTTGTCATTTGGAGATTTGATTTGCCAAATTCCAGATAGATTGGGTTCCTAGATAGACTTGCAGAAGCGAAGTAGATACTCAAAATGGAGGGAGTAGATCATATACAATGTGAACGCGAAAATCGCCTTATTTCACTCAATATATATAAATAATGCACAAAAAGGCCAGATTCATCATGTCAAAAATTTCAATCTCTTTCAGGTTCTGCGTCACTATTAAGATCAAAAGTTCTCCTTTCTGAGACAGTAGTATTATTACAATGGTGTAGTTGTTGAGCTGCGGATAGAATCTTTTGGCTGTCATTTGTATTAGGGGAAGTGTTTGCTCCCGAACTTTTACTTGCTTCAGGCAAAATGGAAGATTGTGTATCAGCTAATGGAGCGATTCCTGCAGTTTCACTACACCCAACATGACTTGCCACGCTGTCTTTACAGCCACCAACAACTGGTGTAGCAATACAAAGAAGAAACAATTGGAGAAAGAAAAGAATTTAGAAGCATGAGGAGACCATAAAGAAAGGTGGCCTTTTACCCATAGATAATACAGCATGTAGAGACCTTTTTGTCTTTTAACAATAAGGTTCATAAAATTCATCAATAAGATTTACATACCTGACTGAGCAGTTGGAACAGTTGGCATGCTGGTGGTGGAAGCCGAGGATAAGGCATTGCTTGCTTTTTTGCTTTTTGTCTGGGATAAAAGCATAGCATTAGGTAAAATGAAATTTAAGGTGCAGAACATAACGAAAGAGATTTAGTGGCTCAGGAATTACAATATACAAAGTATAGTTCTTCAAATTACTCAGATTATATCAGTTTTTTAAATCTTTTATTTTTATATATACAATAAGCATTTGAGCAGTAGAGCTCCCATCTAAAAGAAGCTTGCATAGAAAGATGTTTAATTAATAAGCATTAATGACGAGCATGTATTTATTTGAGCTTTGGGCTGTAAACGCTAGGATGAGCCTGAGCTTTGTTCTTGTGTGAGCTAGCTTAGGTTGTATACAACTCAAGGATATATAGCTTTCCCTTAAAATTTTACTCTGTATCCAATTTCATCCAATGGAAAACTTACCAAAATCTAAAAATACAAGGTCACAAGTGCATGCTAAAATACTGAACACAATAAGTTTGCTGATATGAATTATGAATGCATAATTACAAATAAATAAATGATAGCAGAATACGGCAAAATATAGTTCATGTACCTTAACATTTTCTTCGCAGTACTTGACAACAGCAGAGATACTTGGGCATCGTCCGTGCAATAGTGTGTATGCCCACATTAAAAGTTTCCGTGGTACACTCACATCGACAATTTCAACCCCATCTGCACTATGGTTAAACTGCCCAGTTGTGATCAGTCGAGCTGGAACCCAGAAGAGATTCAAACCAGATAGGAGTACTATCGATGAACTATCACGATAAAAGCTGTAAGTAGATCTCAACAGAGAATTTGCCGTTTCCAGATTTTCCTCTGAAGCTTTCTTGACTACAACATGCTCAAAATTTGACAATAATGTATTCCATTTTGTTTCAAGAATTGCAAGGTGAGCTGAATTTCCAAACGAAGGATACCAGAAATCATTGGTTCGCAAATCTAGACACAAAAGCTGCTCATTGTCTGAAGCAGTTGCTTCACCACAGGCACTAGAATGCAATGGTGTGATCTTAACAAGATTGATTACAAGAGATCTGCACCAGGCAACAGAAGCATGTTTGAAAACCCCAGAGCAGCTGCTATCATTTGAAAGTTTTGGATTTCTGCAACGTTTCCGTATCTTCTCATTTAAGCCTTCAAGGACTTCAAGCTTGACATCTTTCTCCAATGAATATAGATATTGGTGGAGATAACTGCATTAAGAGCAGATAAGGGGCCTTAGTTTAAAAGTGAATTCATGATAATTTTGAATTTGACTGCTAATATCGAGTACAATAAGGGGCCTTAGTTTAAAAGTGAATTCATGATAATTGATTACATAGGAGATAACATTAAAGTCAAGCATATTTTTGTGATAGTCTCCATGAAAAATTTAGAATACTGAAAAATATAAAATTGAAAAGGAAAAGAAACAAGCAATAGTAGCATGTAGATATCAAAATAAGCTTGCTGAAGACCGATAAAATAAATTAGTTGTTTTTTTTTTTTTTTTTGTTGGAGGGGAAAAGAAATAAGTAGTTGAACATAAATTACCCATATAATGTTCTTTCTGATAATTCTGGGCACTTAATTTCTGTCGAACTGCAAATATCAGGCCAAAGGCTTGCCTGCTCCATGAACAAAGTAAACATTTTCTCAAGTATCTGCTCAGGAGAGCTTTTTGCAGCAGTAGAGGTAGCACCATCAGTTGATGACATGGATGAGATAAGAGTCTTTAAGTACCTCCCAAGAGCCACAGGAACCAGATCTTCCAAGCATAAGGAGAACTGGATTCAAATAATTTGTTAGATAATATTTCCTTTCTTTCCAGACCAGCGGGCACCAGAAGCCCAAAAATATGTGCATGCCCACAAATGAGGAAAGGAGGTATAACACAAAGGAACCCAAAAAGTGTTCCTCCTCCATGCCGATAACATAAGTTCATGTTGACATTAACATCAAGAAGTTCAATATTTATTTTGGTTAAGCAACTGTTAGCAACAGTTCGGATATTGAAGGAAATGAAGAAGAGCTGAAAATGATGATTTTGATTTATAGAAATTACAGAGATTTGTGATAGATATCAAGAATTTGAGAGACTTGATACTCTCCCAAAGCCGACTAAAGCTAAAATCAACTTCTCAATTCTTCTCATTGCTCTCTCCCCTTTAATCTCTACAATATAAAAAGTCCCCCTTTTCCCCTTTAATCACTCGCTTTCTCTCCAAGCTAATCCTCACATATTATGCACCACCAATATTATCCCTTTCCCTACATCCAATGCAAAGCAATGGTATAGTGGAAGACTGGTCATAGAGAAGTGCGCAGGATCACACCATCACATTATCCCTCAAAAAGAACAGGACTGGAGGTATAGCATTATAAGTTAAGAAAATGATAAGTTCCTATATATACATGAGGGCAGAGTTTGTTCAGGGCTGTCAAGCAAAGGATAAGATCAGAGGCAATACAGGAATATCACAGATAGGTAGTTACTATTTCAAAGTCATTCCTTCTCTCTTCTCTCATTAGAATACAAAAGGTGACACTCTTATACGACTGAGTAAGTAGCTTTAAAAAGGTTTCACAACATTTTATGTTAATAAATAATAGCTACTCCCTCATCCGGAATTGACAGTTTTAGATGAACATTTAAGGTCAAGGTATGCTTTTGACCATCTTTAACTTACAGTCTTACATTATAATATTTCTAGTAAGTTAGTAACTTTATAGAAGATGAACCAAATGAGTTATATT